TTCACCGCATTTCAATAAATTCAGTTTTTCATTGGCAAAGAAATATTTTCTCGTATATTTCAATTATGAATGTTGCACTTTCATGAAGTTTTTATGAAAAAATTTTTCTGTGCAATTTGAATTGCAACGCTAGATTGAATGATATGAATTTGTTGATGTTAAGAATTCTTTTATGTACTACGTGCGTGCTGAATTTATGGAATATTTTATGCCAAAGAATAATTGGAATTTCATGATAAATGTTAATCACTTTAATTTGTTCTAATTATAGCTTGTATAACAACGTAGAAAATTTAATAACATGGTACACCGTTCGAGGGGTAAATTCTTCTTCATTCTAATTTTCCAAATTTCATCCTGTTTCTTTAAATGTTAGTTTCTCAATGAAAATCTAATTAAATACCAAATTTTAATTAATATAATAGATCTGTGAGTCACGATTGACTCTGCCACTGACATTTGACGATTAATAAATACAAATTTCGTATAATTACCAATTTGAAAAGTGTGATATTCTAATCACCGAATTTCATGAGAACAAGTAGTGAAAAGGTTAAGCCTATTCGATTGACACGAGTCAACACGTCTCGCGGTGATTAGTTTATAAAAGCATCAATTGCCGTGACCAGATAGCGAAGTAATTTCAACTCACTTCAGAAACTGTACTGGCTGTCTAGTTTCCCGTTTGAGCGGATGTATAGCGTGCATCGTAATTTGTTCCTGTTGCCGAAGAATTCTGAACGCCCACGTCGTTCCCGGTACGGATCGATGCCGCGGCTCGCACGGTTCATAAATAACCTTTCTACGGGGAAAACGAATCCATCAACAGCCACGATCCTTAACTAGCCAATTCGAAATAACATCAAACGCGACGTAACGCCTTCTTTTCACTGGTCTCCTGACTGCACGGGGGTTGGCAGCTTCTTAAATAAGTAATCTTTCTTCGAACGCGGGGGAGAGCTTCTTGAATTTCCAGGATGATCGCCATCAGGCAAACTTAACCAACGAATCTTGTTTATTCTTCTTTTTATTGAACAAGTACCGTTTAATCGTTTTTATTTATTCTTGCGTTTCGTATTGCTGTTGTTCGTTATCGGTTTATGGACTACAGAATTATTCCCTCGGCTCTTAAACTTTGCAAACGATGGTTCTTCTTTTCTTAGGTAATTATGAATCCGGTAATGATTTATTAAAATATAGATTGAAGTTCTACTGCAATTAGTACTTTCGTTACTGAACAACTCGAGGTAGTTAGCTACCAAGCAGATGCCTATTTAATAGCTTGTAAGTAGAGCTTCTAATAGAAGAAAAATGGGAGTTGTTAGAAACAGGAAGTGTCTTTCAGCAGAGAATGTAGCTAACAAGCAACTTGGACCTGAAAGTTGCACCTTGGCAAAGTTACAATGTGTCAATCACTGTCCAGTTGAAGAAGCTAAATTCTGTAAAATCTGAATTAGGATGTATCTGTTTATACAAGTACAGTGAAGAAGTCATTAAGAATAATTGTCCTAAGTATAGACTCCAAAAAATAATGAAGAGTTTTGAAACGTAGCAAAACGAAGAACAAAGTTGAATCTGTTCCAAATAACCACAGAAGCCCTATTTAACATGTTTAATACCAAAATGAAAATGTTGCTTAAAATTTTCTATAATTTTTTCAGCAACGAATAAACGTATTTCGTCGTTCGCTTTTGCAACAGCGAAACCAAAGCTCCTTTCTCGAAACGTCGAGTTTATTTGTTGTAAAATTCGCGTCACGATTCAGAATCCAATACTATTGCGTTGCTCATTCAGCTGGCGTAATTTAAAGCCCATCAATTACAAAACCGTATTCCTTGGTTCAATTCGATCGATGGACGGAGGGGGTAGGTGTACAGAGCGGGGGTAAGACAAATTATCCCACGTAGAGGTAATTAAGACCACCCCACCCCTGGGAATCGAGGAATAAAAACGTCAAACGATTCTTAAGTCACGTTTAACCCCATCTAGATTTACGTCGCGATAGATCTTGTTTCCGTGTTAATTATTTCCTCGAGTGGTTGTTCGGCATGCAAGCTCGTTTTACGATAATGGCGGAACGAAGCGCAGCTATTAAGATAAACTGGTCAGCCGGTGTTCGAATGTCGTTCGTTATCTTTGCTTGTTCTATTAATTCGACTGTAAAGGTAGGACATTAATGGCGGAAGGGTCAAGGTTCAAAGTCGTAAAATTGTTAGAAGGGTAATCTGGTTTATAGTTGCTGCGAATGTCCGTTCTTTATAGATCAGGGATGGTTAACACCTCGGCGTTAATGGCTCTCTCCATGGTCCGCCATACGAGGGTTGAATTACAGACTCTAGATTCTCTAACGTTTCAACTATTTTTTTTTTAGATGAACCTCGCTTGTTATACAGTTTATTGGATTTTAGAGATACTTGTATGATATCCTAACTACACGACCCTTGCACTCGTGTACGCCACGTGACTCGTGCCAAGATTCCAGTAATTGAACCTGACTCGATCGCCGTTCTCGAACGCAGTCGATCAAGTATCGAATATCGGAGAAGTGAACTTCTCCGAGAGCAAAAGTGGATCGACTTAATTATTTTTTCTTAAACATACAGGTCAAATACGAAGTTGCAACGAACCGATCAGTTCTTAGGTTTCCTCAAACTTCTGTTAATCTTACAGCAATTTTATTTCGAACACTCCTAATTACAGTAGACTCTTGATAACTTGCTGCAGACCCCTATCACTTGTTCTTAGCACATCATTTCTCAGGTACGTGATTTATTTGAGCATTCAATTGATTTGGTGATTGGTAAAAATACTTACTTGTGGAGGACAATAGGCGTCTGCGAAAAGTTAACGAGCGGCAAGTTATCGAGAGTTCGGTAGGGAAGTTTTCATCTTTTTCTTTGCTCAAACTTTCCCTAATTAAAATACATTATAATTTAATGAGTTTTTTTCCGAATAAAAGTTAGTAGAATATAAAATGGCTAGGCTCATTACTTGAATCGATCAAGAAGGTCTTGCTGATGTATTACCATAAGGAAAAAACAAGCAGGTAGATCTATCAAACAGGTGTTTCAAGAAGCAGACTTGCAAATGTAAAATTTGCAAATGGTAAGAGGAAAAGGAAAATGCCATAGTAAAAAATATGTAAACCTGTGCATAAAAGATACATAAGCCTTGAATATGAAACTGGTGATAGCAATCTGAACTTAGATCTTTTTCAAAAGCACGTATTAACTCATTTTGCAGCCTTAATTATTTATAATTAAATTTTAACTACACGATAGAAATAAATTCTTTCTATAAAACAGTCCAGAGGTGAAAATAGAGAAGAAGAAATAAAACTTGAAGAATTCTCTCTAACACCTAATATTTCATAGATATCGTAGTAAATAGTTAAAAAGAAACTGAACCATACACCTTGCCACGAAAATAAATTTGTTCGAAGAAATAAAACACTGAATTTACCACTTCATACTCAAATGCACCTACAATCCAGTCAACTTATCGCCGAGTTCATTTACTCTGGGGGATGAAATTTTTTGGTCCGAGTTCAGGTCGGAGAGACGTCCGCAGTGACAAGTGTCACACTCACCTAGGGGGGAACAATTTCATTTACCACGGGGAGAAAAATAGTGGTTAAATTCCTCGAGTAGGTATAGTCATACATTATCCTGAGATCGAGAGAAGGGCGAAGAAATCTCTCGTGTGTATTCAGCCGAAATACCAAAAAACAGAAGACATCGACAAGATACTTTTGTGATTTTCAAGGAATCCACCCTTAAACTTATGTTTCTTTTTATAGCCTCGATGGTTGCTTACCCTTTTAAGTAGAACTTTTTTTAAAATACGAATTTCTAGAGGAACGATGTAAAACAAACGAAATGAAATTAAAATTAGGGCTCTCTCCATGGTCCGCCGTCCCGAAATCCATATCTCCGGTAAACAAACAAGAGTTTCAGGAAGTAATTTCCTCGAAAGCGTTGTAACATATTACATAGTGTACGAGTGTGCCATTTCGTGTAAACTACCGACATTTGTCAGTCGAAGCGTCCGAACAAACTTTCCAACAGTTCATCTCCAGATGTTCGGATCCGTCTATCCATCTCGCGGCTGTGTCTCCGACTTGGAGGTCTCATTTCGAAAGTTACAGTGAAGTATCAGCGTCTCCAGGCTCGAGATGGAAATCAGTGGAAATCGAGGGCTGTTGCGATTGGCCAGGGAATCGCGAAGGTAACAGAAGGGAAGGGGTTGATCGATGAGATCCATGGGAACGATCGGTCATCGAGGGTCCTTGGAAGGATCGTTGATTTTCGTTGACTATCGCGTCAACCGTGGAAGACAAGGGGTGTGCTCGCGGGTGTGTACGTCAGCGAGTAGCTCGTTAAAACGTGATAACTCCATCTACATGTAAATCTAATCGGTTAGACGGGACCGTTAGGGCATCAAAACCCCCATTAACCACAGTCTACACCATCAGCCGGCAAGACGACTTGGCGGTGAACGACTTAAGCTTGCTTGGAAAGCCACGACATTAACCGTCAGCGCGTACGTCACCGCTAAATTCTCCTGTAATGAGACCTAATTCCGAAGGATGTCTTTGTGACTCCTGTAAAGCACCTTGGCTCTGTCTCCGACGAGATTCTTGTTCGCTTCTGAAACCACTTTACCGACGAACGAATGTGGTTAATTATTGCTCGCTCTAACTACCCCTTATCATTTCATCTGTACGTTACCGTTGGATAATTCGCACGTTTAGCGTAATCGAATAATCTGCTTGTTATTTTTAATTTTCTATATTACAAAGAAAATAGAGTACTGTAAAAATTGAGGAAAAATGAAAAAAGGGGTTGCTTTTACTTTTGTTATAATTTACAAACTAGAAGAAGTCTTATATTTAATTGTTTGTTGAATATTTTCAAACTTCTTTATATTACAATATTGTGATTAATTTTAAGATAAAATATGATTTATTATTAACACTTAATTTTTTGCTTACTTTGCAGTTCCAATGGTTACCGTTAGCGGAGTAGTGGGAAAGAAAGTGCAGCTACCTTGTGACATTCGTTCCGCTGAAAACGACAACGTCAGCATGGTGCTTTGGTACAAAGAAGGAGAGGGAGAACCCATCTACAGGTAAACTGTCAAACCTTTATTATACCTTTATATATGACACATTCCGCTACAAAAGAGAAGGAGCTAAATCTCTTTGACCTGTCGAGATTTTGCACGAGATCCTTTTACGTGACCGGAGTTTCGTATAAAATACAAATACGAATATACACTTCTAGCCATAATTGTGTGATTCGATATTATAAGACAAGGGGTTAAATATCACGGATATTCGATAAATCGCTGAATAAAAGCCAGCGAATGGAGGAGTTACAAGATACGAAAATGAATTTTAAATACTTGGAGTCAATTGAGCGGAAGTCTCTAATTCATTCTAACGGCTAAAAAGAACCCATCCAGCGGTTGGAAAAACATCGTGGCTGGCCGGTTAACATCTAAAATTTCCCCGAAACCCGATAATCCGGGAATATAAATTACCCCGAAGAAATGAAAAGGGAACGGTAGCCGGAGGGGGTGGGGGTTGGAGGGGATACCGGTCCAGAAATTCCTAGCGTTATTTTCCGCGGTGAACTTCATTTGCTTCCTGACTCGCTATTTCGCTTCCGCGACCCGTGAAATTTTGCATATAGAATGGTACCCTCTCCCCCTGGCTCGCCTCTTCGACAAGAAGCGCAGTAGGGCAAGGAGGGTGGGAGGGGTTCGGAGTGGATCGTCGACGTTAGTACTCGTCGGGTCATATTTAAGAAATGTAATAAGGTGTGAGATATGTGCCGGGAAGGCGATGCATCGTCTCGACACCGTACCACCACCCTTCTTCGCAGGACGAGAGGGTGGAAGGGGATGAATCGGATAGTCGAGGGCACAGGTCGTCGCCTGTTGTAAAGTCAGTTTAATCCTCGCCACCAGAGGAGAAACTTGAAATTTAAAGGCAGACAGACACCCCGTGTACCCTCTCAACGAGCCTCGCCCAACCCTCCCCCTTCCCGCCCTCCTGCTGGTGCAGCAGTAAAATATTTATTGCGGGACGTACCGGTTCGCTTATCATACGTGCGCCAGACAGTTAAGGAAACGAAATGGCGAGACCAGCCGTGCATGATCGTGAATATCATTTCTTGCTATCTTTCTTTTCCTACTGTATCCTTCGAGGGGAAAGGTCTGCTAAGTTCCGCGTGAGAAATTTCGAGGCAACTATGACGGTGAAATGTTTATTCGATGATTCGTACGGAACAGGGGTCGCTAAACTACCGTTCACGAGTTTAGAATGATTTTTACAGTATCGAAATGTGGAAAGGAAAATTTATTACCACGTACGTAACCCTCGGAATGCGGACACTTTAGGTTCGCCACTTTCACCCTTATTTATGTCGGCATTTTATGTGAATTTGAAGGGTGAATTATGTGGAAAATTTTAAATACATTGTTACATATGTGAATATTATACTTTTTGGATGAGGTGACAAATAAAATTTCTATGTTATACCTGGGTCGAAATTACCTTGTCATTCTATCTAACTAAATATTGATTGTATGAAATTTTTAATATGTTACTAAACGAATAATGGATATTTTTATCAATTATATAAATTTGTAAAATTATCTGCTATACGTTTATCATGATTGATTAAATAAAGAATCCGAAATTTCAGATAATTCATATTATATTCGAAATCTCTGTCGCTTATTGTTAATTTGAAATCCCTGACGAGTTATTTCCGTTTAATCTGATTTTTAATCATATTACATCGATTTATTCTGCCACTTGAACGTTTCACTCTGACAGGGCTTCGCTTATTTCATTTTCTTCATTACCGGCTTCACCCTTTTCATTTTCTTGGACGATCTTGTTTCTTCGTTTTCTTCTTCTTCTTCCCTTTTCTTTATTTCCGCATTTAGCTTCTTGGTCTTCAACTTTTTTATGAAATTTTCCGTAATATTTGCGACTTCTCCGAGTAGCATCCCGGATTACTCTTCAGGAACGTCGTTTCACAGAATTGAATTCGTCCAATTCTGTTCGTTCTACCTCTTTGGTGACATTTAAATCGTACGCATGATACAAAGGATTGTTCGAATATCGTTTTCTAATGAAAATATTAACAGTTCGCTGTCGACTGTAGGTGAACATAGGAAATACGAAATTAAATTAAAATTTGGACTCTCTGCAAGGGTTAAATAAGAAAATTATTTTAATAAAAAATTTGTGTATTTTCCTAATTAGAAATAAAAGTAACAAAATATTGTGGAAATAATAGAGAAAATTTCTTAGATAATATAGCACGAATATCGTTTTACAATATTTTTACACCATCAAATCAAATGAAACTTCCAACATTTCAAACCCGAGCATCCAATATGCAACAGTCTAATTCAAAACGGTTCAATGGACCGAATATAACCGTCTCGAGTGAAACAACATCGAAAATCTAACGTATGGGCCACTGGAGACCACTTCCTCCGATATCGCTCTATTCCGCCGATCGTGTTGCCGATCGACGAGCTCACCGGGCGTGATTTCAGCTAAGAACGCCGGGATCGTGGATTCGCCTTGATTTCCATGCATCCCTTCGCATACCGGGCCAGTCTCGGATAGCGATTCTTCGTTGGAAAATCTGGTCGTGAATGAGCGTAGGATGTGATGTAGGTGGCACGCGAGGGATCGAGGAATCGATTCGAGGCGAGGCCGGAAGAGTGATACCAGAAATCGCTTTCGAGGGTTATCGTACGAGGAGAGAAGCGATCGAACAAACGCGTTATATCTACGGTTCGTTCGAGCCCCGACGGAAGGATGGTGATTTTCTGGAAAGAGAGAAGGTCGTGTGGAGAAGCGATTGCATCTGTACGGCGGAGCCCTAAGGGCCGGCATCCTGGTAGCAAAGCAAGCTAACGGACGTCCGGAGTGTGGCAGCACGTCACGGAAGCGCTTTCCTCGTCTGCTGGAAGTGCGAAGTGGAAGAATTAAATCGTATTTCAACGTCAATGCCGCGAAAGCAGGCAACAGAGTGGGATAGCTTTGGGAATACTCAGTCACGAGCGGAAATCCGAACTCCGGTGCAGTCGTGGAACGCAATTTAACTTTTAGTCGCTCGTGAGGAACCGTTGCCTTCCATACTCGCTTACCAACGATTCTCTCTTCTTTCACCCACTCGGCAGACCCTCGATAGTAACCATAAAGCGAGAGAGAGAGAGAGAGGTTTCATCCGCCTTCTATCTTTCTGCGAAACATCCGTCTCGTTCCAGCCATGAAGTCTTCTCTTGTTCGTTGGTTACCGGATGCTTAATATGCAATCACGTAACCGCGATGGCTCCCTAGGTGACTCCATATATGCTGCCCCCTCATCCTGTCGGGTTATAATTTTCTTACGCTTCTTGCGAGCCGATTCTTCACGGTCTGTCAGAAGATCTGAAATCGGTCGGGCGAGAGTGTTCGCATCCTGCCTGATGAAGTTCAACGAATGCGAAAAAGCGTAATGGTCGATGTTTCTTTCTTACGTGCTGGTTGCACAGCTGAAACGGATTCAGAACATGCTTGAATAATTTAATTCGCTACAGCTTTCATCCATCAAAAGAGAAATCTGGATAAGGAAGCGGGGTTGGAAATTCGGTGGAGAGGTTTCTTCTTACACGGCGAGGATTATTTGTGTTTAAAGGTACTCGGTGAATTTGGTAGGAATAAACAGCAGGTGGAATATGGGTGAAAAATATTCAAGAAATTTCAGTTATTTGGCAGGTGGAACATCGTGTAATTTTATTTACTTATTTATAATTTATAAATTATACTAATTTTAGAGAAGGTAATTAACCAAATGGTTATATTAATAATTATTGCACCTTTGAGTAAGGACATTAACTTCGTCTTCTGAGAGTTGATAAATTTCTCAAAACTCAGATCACTTCTTTACTAGGTATCAAAGTTTCTCAAGTTCTTCTTCATAGCAATTCAGATAGCCGGCATTAAAGCTTAATTAAGTGTATAAAATCTTGAGTATACGTATCTGCGACAAGATATCCTCGTGAATAATGGTAGCAAGTTTCTCGAAGAAGACGTTTCACTTGATGCCAGATCAGAAATGAAAGGCACGATAATTCATTCTACATTCATGTTGCCGACGATTCTGAAGGTAGAATTGTTGAGGAGTTGAAGAGCAATAAGGCGTACTGAGAGCTCAAGCGAACGTGTTCTCTCAACTTTGCACGTGACATCGGGCAAAGACTGAGACGGGGGAGACGTCGTGAAAGGGCATTGTCGACTTCGTCGTCTGTCGGATCTTCGAGATTACAAGTGCTGGTTTCATGAAAATTCCTGTCTCACTTCTGTAGGATTTTAGTATTAACTTGTACCCTTACAGAAACGTCCTTGCGAAGAAGCTGATACGAATTCGCCGAGGCACCAATCCCCTCGCTACGCTGTTAATCTGAATGCTTTAATAAATTCCGCTCGTCAAGTTTTCAATCTAAAAATAGAATGAAATGTTACCAGTAGGTAATTACTCCGTCCAGAAGGCGAGGAATAAATTAACTGTTGACGAGTGATTTATAACGTTGGCGAGTGTAATTAGAGAGTTAATAAATCGATAATTAATTTAACAGGATAAATTCGTGTCATTTATAAACGTGTATAAGTTTTTCGCTGTAATCGGGTAATAATAATTGCAGTCGATGATCAATGCAGGCCATTATTTTTAATCGAAGAAAATCATAAAAAAAGAGAGAAATGAAAGCGATGATAAATGAATTTATACAACGTGTCAAAAGTTGGATATTAAAAGATGATTTATCTTTCAACAACTTCAATTTCTCTTTTATAAGCGAAACGATGCATCTATTAAATGTAAATGCATAATAGTGAAAGGGTAAAATCTTTGCGTAGCTACAGAAGAACACAATTTCTGATTTCAGCTTCGACGTTCGTGGTCGTCGACAGTTCCACAATGCTCGCCTTTGGTCGTCGCCGACGGCATTGGGACCAAGAGCTTTTTTTTTCCCGGTGTCGAATCCTGCACACCTCAGCATCGAGAAGCTGGAATCCAGGGATGAAGGGATCTATCGGTGTCGAGTAGATTTCAAGAACTCGCCAACGAGAAAGCAGAAGACGAATCTGACTGTTATAGGTAAGCAATGCAGGTCTACTCATTTATTAAAAATTATATTCATTTTAAAAAATACCTTTAACGTAGATTTTATATCGAGTAATTTGAAATAATTAAACCATCAGTTTCTAACGAACCACTTTTGTATCTCCGATTTTCACCACCGTTAGCCTCGCGTTTGCATAAATCGAACAATAGCGACGCGCCGGTTTTTGCTATTGTTCCATCCATCCATCCATCCATTGACGTGTAATCGGGCGTCGTCAACAAAAGAGTATTCAGCAAATGGTAAATCATTCGCATCAACAGAATTCAATTGGCTCTAATCAATCTTTCATGAGTAAATCACGGTGGCACGCATCGAAACGCATAGATCACCCATTCTCGACCGACAGACAAATAATCAATCCGCGTTTCCGCTGATTCAATCATCCACCCTGTGTTCGCGTAGTGCCTCCGTCGAAGCCGGTGATACTGGACGGAACGACGAGGGATATTTCGAGGTTAGAGGAACCCTACAACGAGGGGAGTGACGTGAACCTGATTTGCGAGGTACGAGGTGGCAGGCCGCCCCCGAAGCTGACGTGGTACCTCGAGAACACCGTGATAGACGAGTCCTATCACTACAACACCGAGTCAGGTCTGACGGTTAACCGCTTGTCCTACCCTAAAGTTGGACGGCAACACCTCAAGGCCCGGCTGATTTGTGAGGCTAGCAACACTAACTTGGAGCTACCGCAAACCAGACTCGTCATCCTCGACGTCAATCGTGAGTACTTCATTTTATATATCGTTATGCATGATTTTTATTTATTTACACGGTAGGCTCTACTGCTTGAAAATTTGCACTTGCAAAAATTCCCTCCTGATTTAGCAGAATCTTTTTCGAACACCCTGTACATTACACGAGAGTAGACAGTGGAATTGCACGTTTCAGGATACAGGAACGCGTTATTCCCAATGTATCTTCCTGTCTCTGAAATATTCATTCTCCCATCTCCTCTACCATCTTGGTAGCTGGTGCATTTCGTTGCATTTCGAAATGTCATTGTTCCCTTAATTTCATCGTTGCTTGTACTTCGCTACATCCAGAGAAATTCCACGCCCTACTTACATAATTCGGCGATAATTATTCCATTCTACCTGGTGCAATTTAAAATTGAAGATTTCTGGAAGGATGGTCAAGGAGCACCGTGATGGTGATTTAATTATGCTGCAGTTAATGGTTTCGGAAAGAGGAGATCCTCGAAACATTCCTTTTTATTATCTTAGTAAATTGCATTGGGATCTAGTAGAAATATGGCTAGAAAATTATTCTAGACTTCGCTTTTTCCTGATTGATAGACAGTTAACCCTTCTAAGGATGACTACACAATGAATAGACATTTATAGATTGTATCTCTTCATACCAGTCAATTTTTTGAAAAATTTGATTTATGTCACTATGACTTTAATCCCTGTCGTTTATTTTTCTTCAAGAAAATTATTCATCGATAATCCACTGTTGAGTATGCGGCCTAAATGGCTAGAAATCCGATCCTGACGTATCGTGACAAGATTTTGTATCTTTTATAAAAATCTACCGTTTGCTCGCATGGAAATTCTATTATCCCTATGACACATCTGTAAGCTGGAAACGAGATATAAATTCTCGAATGTACGAGCAAAACGTTCGCTTAATCGGTCTTTGCCTCCACTGCGCATGCATGCGTTTGAAACCATAGAAAACGACACTGTCTGCCGCGAGTGAAGCGTGTAAGTCACATACACACCGTGACCTATGCGTTAATCCGGCGCAACAGCAACTGGTTTCTGCATAATTTCGTTGCGAAAGTTCCGACGCGATCCCAAAGATCACAAGAAACGCTCTGCGTTCCGTTAATGCTTTCCACCTTACGTCATCAGTGTCATGATATCTACTTATAGCTGAGAAAATATGTTAACGTCTAAACTGGTATTTTAGTACTTTTAATAAGATGAACATGATACATCGGTGGTGAGTGATAGAACGGAACGAAAATAACCCTTGTTGAGAAATACTAATGTAACGACTTGTTCGGGTTAAAAGTCAGAAATCCATGCATAGTATCACGCACGGTAGATTTCCCTAAGGAAATATGGGCGTAGATCTTTGTCAGACTAAAATTACTTCTCCAGTATTAATCTCGAAGACGTAAATGAAATTAGATAATTTTAAAAAAATGTTTAATTTAATTGTAAGTTCCAATTCTAAATACAACCCTATTATTATAGCATAGGAATACTGACTAATGCCATGTTGTCGTACCAAACATGTCAATGTACATGATGCTCCCCTTAAGACAATGTTGACTTTTCGGTATCTAACCATAACACGTAGGGTCAGTCGTGAATAGTACACCTGGTAAATATTCTCCAGATGTATTTCGTCTATTCCGCCTAAAGGTGAAATTCTGGGAGCTCGTGAAAAATTGAACTACCGACTCCGGAAATCCACTTGTCCACTATGTCCATGACATCCCTATTCTCCCAGTTTCCCTTATTATTGGGTCTGGAAACATTCTGCATTGTCCTCGTTCGTTTCTCTTCCCCTTTCACACACTCGTTCTTTTCTATCTCTGTGGTATGTTTTTATTTCAAGGTACATCTCCCGACTGTTTACAGGAGGGTTGGGCAGCAGGGCAATCGCCTCGGGCAATATCTTACATTGTAACTGAAACGAAAACAAGGGTGATATGTTGTTTCTGATATTTAAGCAGGTGGCATAACACGACAAGTGTGGAATTTTATTTTTATTCCTCTGTTTCTACTTTCGTCGACTTAAGTTTTTCTTGCGGAGGCTTCCCTGGGAAAAATGGCAATAGGAGTTCTGAAAATCTTAATTTCAACTCATTTCTGACACCTATTATCCACAATGGCGGTTCACTAACATCTCCATTCTCACGATTCTCCAGTTGACCCTATCTCATAGAATAGACAGGGTATCGTGCAATCTATGACACCGATATAGAGCTATTACTTTCGTGCTGTTCGGAGAGGAACTATCAGAATCAAAGTCCAATTCCGCATAATCTGAAAGGGAATCAAAAGGAAATCCAGTGTGTTCTAGATTGCCGGATAAATGCTTCAAAGTAATATCAATCGCGGACCTGGTGCAAGACGGCTCACGAATCGGCCTAGCCAGGGCTATCGTCGTAATCTCCCATCGCGGTTAAACAATTCTCCACGACGATTTCGCGTAGCACACGAGCCGGCCGAGCGGAATTGTTACCGAACGCCTTTTCACGTGGCTGGCTGCCTTGGACAAGGTGTTCACGCGCTGAACCTATTAGTCGTCTGCTCGAGATTGGCCGAAGGAGATAACAGTAACGCCTCTCACAAGACGGATCAGTGGATCGCGTGCCTCCTAGCTTCCAGCTTCGATTCCGTGTTTCTACGCGAGCTACTGCCGTGTGGCTTCGTGTTCAACCCCTTTGTCGGGTCGATAGGGGTGACGAGGCCACGTGTGTCCCATCCTTCTCTCCTAGCTGTACGCGTACCGAACTACACGTACTATAAGAGTGTGTTACTAAACGGTTCGTGGTATACAGGGGGCATGAACGCGTACTTGCCAGGGCGTAAGACGTGTTCCCAAGCAAGGAGGATCCTCCAACTACACTAAGATATCGTGTAAACGGTGACTGGGAGGATGTTCGACTTCTAGGGACTTGGAAATGCCGCATTAGGGGACGACCTGGCTCGGCAATCTAGACGGGTAAAACTATACTCGAACTCGGCGATAACGTTAATGTAAACACCCGTAAAACTATTAAGAGCTTGGGGTGTCGTGCGAGGTGTTAAACCCGGGGCTAGTTGATCCCGTCAATTGACTTACGGTTACTCACGCACTGGTTAAGGGAAGAATAGAGGGTTGGAAGGTTATTGACTTGCCTGATAAAACTAGGCCAGTTTCGTGATAGGGTTTGTATAATAATAGTATTTTTAATCGAGTTACAATTGTCATATAAAGTTGTAAAGAAAATTGTTGATCTTCCTGTAGGAATAAATGTCTATCTCTCTCATTTTTATTTATTACTTTTTTCACATAAGTGAAGTTTTAGCTTAAATTTCTTTTATTCTAATACAGATTCCCCCCGAAATAAACCTAGTTTAGATTCGATGTATTCGTTTCTGCGGCATGCTGAATTTTAAGTAACCGTGCGAAGGGGCAGTAACGTTCTAAATATAAAGTCTTAGATTTTCTCATTAATTTTCATCAGGTTTCCCCGTAATCCTCATGCAAACCAAAACTAAGATCAATTTTAAAGCGTTTATCAATCGATCCGACAGACAACTAAAATTTATACTAAAGTTCTAAAACATTTAGAGAGTCTCTCGATGGTTTGATAGCCCCGGGTCCTAGAAATCTTAATCTCTTTCTGAGTACATTAGATGCCATGTAGTTGTAAGCGTACGCTAATAGCGACGTGTAAAAAATAATATTTCGCCATTACAATTGAAGATTAATTCCTGAAAATCCTCTTCATCGACACGAAACGGTTTACGAAGGCGGTTGCATGATCGTCCTAACTTAAGTCAGCGGGGCTCGGGTTACGTTCAATTTGATAACACGCGAAACTATCGCAAAAATAAAACGAGTCACGTTACAGCATTCCGAATCTAGAATACGATCTATGAGGAACACGTAGCCGTAAAATTGAACCGGGACGATTCACCTGCGAGAATTTAGCAAATAATTGCCCTTTTAATATACCGCCAATTTACGCGATACGATGCCAATTAAGGTTTACAGGCTAACATAAATGCAGGTCGTATTATTAATAGATATCGTTGTTCCTACTATCACTAATTCACATCAGGTCGATTCGAATGTTCATTTGTACACATATGGACGGGGAATACGTCGGTAACCTGTACTCGGTTATCCGTAACCGTGCAGATGTGCACGCGTGTTAAGTTGCAATATTTACTCGTGCCCGGTGATGCACGTCGGAACCGTTCGCGGAATAATAATTAATAACAGGCTCGATGCAGTCCACCCAACCTTTCACTGGCGCACAAATTATTCTGGCTGTCCGCGAGAAATCATTCTGCCACGGTTCCTGGCAACGTCATGAAAAACGATTCATTTCTTTTTTTTTTTTTTTTTCATCCATGCGACTTCATTTTAGTCCTTGATTAACACGTCAGGATACAGCTTACGTTAGGATACGCTTTTATGTGACATAACATTTTTTCAAATATCTTATTTTTTGGAACATACGTCAATAACGGGGTATTATGATATATAATAACACGCCATTATTATTAATAAAGTATTATTATGATGTATATCCTGTGATATTAAGGGTGGTAGCTGGGGTGATTGTGAACAACTTTTTCTTTTACTAAAATGCTCGTTAGGACATAGCTTTTGAGTTACTAATGAAAAACACTGACCAATTAAAGCGTGCAGGCTCAGCTGTCGAAAAGGTAGAAACAATCTTTCAAGATTGGATTGAAAACCGTATTTGATCGAACATCTCGCGGAAATTATTCGTTCATTCGTACGGTTGGTATATTTTTGAATACTAAATACGTTTATATGAATAAATTTTCAAAAAAGCCATTTTATTCGGAGATGTATTAACCGTGAACATACTTTCGCTGAATTTTCGGATAAAATGTTGAATAATTTTCATATGAAATTCATAGCAAAAAAGTGATAAAGTATCTTCAAAGGTATAAATTCCAACGATTGATTCAAACAAAATTTATTCCCTTATTCTGTAATTTATTTTTCGCGAAGCGTGGCGGAAAATTTGAGAAAAAATTTTTCGAATTTATTAAATTAATTAACTTAATTTCCGAGCGTAAAAGAAATAACTTTTCCTATAAAATTTTATTTCCAGTAACACGAAACACTCGGTTCTCGATACGATTATTTAGGTCACTTTGTAACGCGGTTCGTTTTTATCGGGGTATGACTCAGGTTGATTCTGAGAGGCGCAGGCGGGTGCAAAATATTGGCTGATGAGCGTGCAGCAAGTGCTCGGACTCGTAGGAAATTATTCAAACAGAAAACGATAACGCCACGGTAAACACGCGTGGATAACATTAAGGTGAATGGTGCAACGTTAACTACACAACAGTTAATTTACTATTCTGATGGTCAACATACGTCTGTGTAATAGGTGAACGTACTATGAAGAGTCAATAGGACGTACATTCTTATTCAAAAGTCATTAGCTATGTATTAATACAAATATGTGCAATAATTTATTCAAAATTTTTAAAATTATGCCCGAGCTGAGTTTCGGGTACCCGAACTTTCGGGTATTCATACACTCCTGACAATTAGCTTTGAATGTTATTAGCTATGAATATTAAATTGCAAGTGCCCCATGACTTAAGGAAGGTGGCATATACCTGTTAATTAGGCAGCAATAAACCTACATAAGTTAAATAATTCATATTATATATGTAATTACAGATGATTAAAATGGCTAAGTACCTTGTAATTTTTGAATAGGAGTGTACGTCGTAGCTGAAGTCAGCACGTTTAGATGAATGATAATATTGCAAGGTAAATCTTGTTGCGAACTTACAAAGGGGAAAAATGCATTATCTGTAATTGCGTGCAATCGTGGTAACTGTTGTCTGGTTAAGTTTAATATTCCCTGATAAAATCGGACGGTGACATTTTATTTACGAATGACAGGGTTGGGAAATAAAATTGCATTTTTAAAATTTTTAACTTCTGTTAAACTGTTTTTTGTGTACGCTATTATTTGCTCAATTTGTTTAACATGAATGAAATAGAGGAGGTACTAAATTTTATTTGAATGCATTTGTTGCTTTGTTGTAAACAACACATACTGCAGGTTAATAGACTGTAAATGTGAAATTTATTGCTTGATGTATATTTGCATTTGGGCTGATTATTCAGATTTGGTTAATATCTAAACTAACTTTGGTACTTTTATTTTGTTAAATATTTCATTGTTGTAAGTTTACAATATTATTAACCACTTTTTCATGTCACTTAATATACAAATATTTCATTATTTGATAATATAATGACAAAGGTTATAAAGTCAAGCTGTCAGTAAATATTCAAACGTGACACTGTTATCCAAGAGTCAGTTATATCCGTCTGTTAATTAAGTGCAGAAAGAAAAATAGAACCGATTCCGTTTCACTTCTCGAAAGGCAGAAAAGCGTGGTCACGATGTAACGACATGCGATGCTTCGTGCACCGACCAATGCACTCTCTGATTTCAACTTACCCCTTCTTATCGATGCTTCTTATCGATACTTGTTCCCTAACGTGTTTTGCACGAAACGAACCTCTCTGATTCTTGTTTATGATTTTTCCGACATCACCGTCTAATTGAAAGTTGAAATTGTTAAACCCTAATCTCTGTCCAACTACAATCTTTCCTTTCTCTATAAATCCTCTGTTCCTTTTTTTGATTTATTTAATTTGTAATCATTTTTTCATGCTCATTTTTCTTGATTTTTTTATTATCAAACGAAAATATAATATTTTATAATTACTCATTCAAACATTTTATAAATGCATGCGTTTCGAAAATAGGAGGGTAGAATTATAGAAATACTGAAAAGAACAGTTTACCCGATACTCCTTAAACCGCTTGAAGAAAACCCTCCCTATTCAAAACAGAGGATAGGAGAATAAACTGACAAAGAAGCAACTGATCGAGTATCTCTTGCACTTTAGAAAGCGGTAAACAGTTTCCGTATCGAAAGCCTTCGGTTCCTATTCATTGGTGCCATTGGAAATCAGCTTTCTAATCGGTTTTCCCTTTACCTAGAATTCCCTTTAGTATACAAAGGAACGTGCTGTTTCTGAAACGGAGGATCTTTAGAAATTCGAAGGTACGTATGTATCCGGTAGGGTAAGCGAATCGGTTCGAAAAGGATGAAGGGGTTTGGGCAATGAGAAGGATCAGCATAGAGGCGTGCAGTTAGGGGTGGCGGAGAGGCCGCGAAACGTAACGGAGGAACCAATTTCAGAGAAGTGGCTACCGGCTAATGGCAATTAGGGGTTGTACGACTGGCTGGTTGCGGCGGCGCATAAGCGTGCCCTGGAATTTACGAGGCAGACCGCGCGATGGGCAGCGTGGTATTACGGATCGTACCGGATACAACTAGGCTTTTGTTTTTGCTCTCGAACGTTATTAAATTTCGACGAAGGCACGGCGAACGGAACGGCAATGGTAAACCTCTTCAGGGATACGGCACACGATGTGGTACAAAAGTATCCACCCTTTAAAATAGAATCATTTTTTTGTAATCCTTTCACCACGTTAAATTATATAAGTTAATACCTATATGCATTATTTATTTCAACAATTTATTTTCGATCTGAAAATAGATATTAGACAGGCACTTAATCGTGCCTGTTTGTTTGCGACACCTGTTAAAAATATTGCTGTTTGCATAAAATGCGAAAAACGCGAAGCAATTAAGGTAAACACATTGCTACACTGCTACCTGGCCGTCACATATACCTTATTCTGCGTGATTAAGGCGATCCAATATTGCATGCAATAATTGCAATCAATAGACGTCGCAAGATTTATCACTGATGGAAATGGACAGGCAGTACATATATGCATTTACCGTGACAGATGTATACGTTCAAAGCTATGAATTTCCGTAGGCAATGCACAAGCGATGACGTTAATAGGAAATTCAATATTCTCGACCATTGCAGCTACAAAATTGCGCGATATAAGTAGTAAACGTAATTTCGATAAAACGTTTCTACAGAATAAATTTGTACACAATAGCAAACAATTACATTCATTCAAGCGATATAAAGGCGATTTATTAGGCGTTATAAAATACTTTCAACGCGTTAAATGCCGCAGTGAAAATAGTAGTATTATAATTATACTTAAAATAGAATTATTTTATTGCTTGAATCCTTTTAACTGTGCAATAATATAAAATTTATTATAGGTATTTATTAGATATTTATGTATTAGTATTTAAGTATTTTTTTCTTTTTTATATTCTGTCCCCTAAAATTTCAATCAGCAGTGTAATATCAGAAAGTAATATTTTTGCAACAAAAAGTTAAGTCAATTTCAAGAAAAGCACTATTTCCGTTCAGTAAACGCCGTCGAATATTAAACATTCCAGTCTCGTCGTCCGGTGGATCAGTTCGCGTTATCCGGACGCGTTGAACGCAATGGAAAGGGGATGGGGGTTTTCGCCAGAATAATTTGCAGTTTTCGCGAACGACGGGACGGAGCAAAGAGGATAAGTTCGGAAGTAGCGACGCTCACATAAGTTAGTTAAAGTTAAGTTGTTCAGAGGGAAAATTTGTTTTTGCAAGTGGGTGAAAGTTGGCCATATAATGCGCTTTAGAACGATCCACGCCGAGTTACGAATTTTTACGAGATTTTAATTCTCATGCCACCCGTGCATCCCTCTTCCGTCACACTTATCGTTGCTCGCTGGTGCCAAATTATTTTATGACCCAACGCAACGTTATCCTGCTGCACAGTTACCTTCGTGTACATATATTTTTCTTTCTTTTTTAATTTGACAGTTATTTAGTTTATAAACACAAGGGGATTGTTATAGTCTAGGGATGATACTACCCTTCGCAGAAAATTACACATTTTAAGAACTAAATATTGGTTAGAAAGAGAAATGATCTAATATGAGTGTCAAGCTCGGTGCAAACTAGGAAAGTTTCAAGAAAATCTGAATTTTCGGATGACCAAAGTTTTCTTGTTAGCACGACGGGGTAACTCAACGATATATCGGCATTCATATTTAACGCTTTTAGAATTGCAATTACTTCGACAAGAGAAAAGTTATGCCCCTATTTGTCGCGGTGTGGTAAGCTCGAAGATCTTGTTATAGTTGCCCTATTTTTTTTTCCCTTTCCTTTGACAACGATAATGGAATAAGTTGCTTTTGTCGTGATTTCTTATCAAATTTGTAACGAACACGATACTTTCGTTTGTTTTTCAGTAAAGCCACTGGTCGTGCAGATTTTGACGAAGGAGCCTCGAGTTTCTGCTGACAAGAACTACGACGTGGAGTGCAGAACAAGTGGTTCCAGGCCAGAAGCAGTAATTACTTGGTGGAAAGCGAACAAGCAGATTAAGAAAATGGCACAAAATGTAAGTTCTGTTCAAGGAAAGCATCAATTTCTGTAGTATAAAATATCCAATTCCTCAAAGAATATTAACAATTATTTTGATTTTTTTCTAATTCACAAAAATAATATGAAATAGGCTGCTTGATATGCAACAACTTAATAACCAATCTTTTTATTGGCATTGTAATTCTATTAGCACGAGTACATTCATTAGGTTACAATGATCGAAAAGAAAATGCATTGATACGGTGATTAAAGTAATTTTGCTTGGAAATTGGAATTTCGTAAAATCCAATAACACACATCGACGTGTAATGACTCTCAATCAATATTCTGATTCGAATTTTGCAACCACGTGATTATTAAATGCTGTGGAATTATTTATCTGGCTTTCTGAAATTGCGTGAATTTGCTTATGCAGATTGCTGTTAAAACGCTATCAGGATATCCAGCCATTCATTTTCAAATGTTATAATAATAATAAAATCTTCGTGAATGTAAATTGATGCACTTTCTATTTTTACGAAACATTTTTCTTCCACTTTAACATATAATTTTTGAAGATAACATTTGATTAACATTAAATTTGAAAATTAATTATTCGTACCCTTAATAAGAAGATTCTAATTGAATAATTGAACTAAAGAAGGGAGGAGATAATTTTGGAATAATATTACTGTTATATTAATAATGCTACATAGCAATTCGAAAGCTTGAATTTGCAAATTAACTATTCGTATAAAATGATTTGAAATTTCGGGAAAATGGAACTTGTTAATACGTGCATTTAACTATATTTCAAGTTAATGAGCTTCGCTGTAAATTATCTTCGCCCACATTTGTATTTTATATGCATGTATGATTTATGCATCTACTAAATATTCAATTCTCTGTTCGTCATAAATTTCCCTCTGATTTGTTAATAGAATATATCTTCTGAGACTGAAACTTACAAAATATGTACAAAAATATTAACCTAAATATGTAACTTTTAAACTGTAACAAAATTAATGTTTGCGCTTCAAATCCAAAGTTAGGGCACCAAAATCGTATGTCAGCACAGTTGAGATTTAGATTCTAAAGAAAATTCTCCAAATCGGTTCGCAAGTTTCCGTAGTTTGCGACGATTCGTCAGGACATTGAAGCAGCGAAGTTATTTCGTTTTTTGCTACAACTAGTTCGCTTCCCCTTTGCTTCTTTCCGTCTTCGTTTCGATCGACTTGTCCCAACACTTTCTTCAAAGCTGACGGGGCGAACGCAGAACTTCACGGATGAATCTGTTGGATATTCCTTTCCTTGCCTCTTTCGATAAATTACGGAAGATTTTACCTTCTTTCTTTATTTGTGATGCGAATCTTTTTTATTTCAATTTGGTTCTTCTTTTTGTTTTAAGAACCACCTTATTTGCACCACAGCAATATTATATAAAATAATATTTTTCTATTTATAGTTACATATCTCACGATATTTAACGTGTTAAGGAAGGTTAATCTTTTAATTTGGATTTTATTTCTAGTCTTCACTAAAAGAAAATAGAAAATTGTTTGCATAATAGAGAGTACGGAATTCAATTAAAGGAAAGTTCTATATTATGCAAAAGGTTCAAAATAAAAGTGTTTCGCTTTAACTTTATGAATTTTACCCAACTTTCTCTCTTTTTCCTTTCGATATGAATTTAAATAATACGAAAAGTTACGTTCGAAATGAACATTTAACGTTTTTGTATGAATTCTAAAGGCTTTGTTTCCACGTTCTTTCTCTCCTTTCTTCTTCTTCCTCTATGCTAATGAATAATGCAGCTACGGTAATAGGTTCGAAGAAAACGAAACGACCACTATTAACACGTTGATTGCCACATTAGAAGCAGCAATGTCTAATACTACCTATTATTAAGGATATTAGAATATAATTTGTTAATCAGACGCTCCAATTTACTACTTCAAATGATAGCTATTTATCATTTTCTTTTATTTCTTCTTCAATTTTCACGATTTCTCTTTAATGGAACTGAAAATCCCAATTCCACGATAGTAATATAAAAAAAATTGTTATCTTTAGTGCATTTTATAACCCTGTGCAACGATTTTAAATCGTGCTCCTGAGTTTCGTTAACATCAGAAAGGGCGAAGGGTATATGGATAGCCGAAGTCTCGATCAAACATCGCGATCCATTATAGAGAGTCAAAGCATTGTGAAGCGATCCACGAAAGATCCGATTTATTCTGCGTTCCTCTCGGGAGAGAGGGTCGCTATTTCTGCGTGGATAACTTTCGGTTTACGCATACATCCGTCGGTGTAATCGTAACCATAGCCCATACGCAATCTCCCAGCGGAATACATTGACGCTACCGTTCGATTGTTCGGAGAGCTTTATCGCGATATTCGATCGCTTTGCAACGAAGCGAACTGAAAACGTAACGCAGTGAAGCTTACATGGAAAAAATGGAAGAGAAACCGTCACGTACTGGGTCGAATGGGCATTCTAGGTGGAAATAAATCGTATCAATCACCAGATATTTTTTGTCATTCGTTCCTACTCAGAGGTGTTCCTCGGTAATAACAGTATTCGTTTAAAAAATTTCATACCATTCACCTTCTCGTTATTTGCCCCAGGCATGCCTGTGCGGAAGGGCGAGAACGCGGGACATCACAATTTTTCTTAGGGAAGCCTACCCTGATCGCGAGTGTGCATAAAGATAGCAGAATCGCGAGTGGTGAGGCGCTGACAGTAGTAATCAATGACATAAAGCGTCCAGTGGCTGCGGCAGCGTTGAGTCGTACTACTGTCGGCGCCTCACCATTCACAGTATTTAGTTTCTTACCTTAACGAAATAATTTATTGGAATTTTCTTTAAACATTTTTTCAATACAAAAACCCACTCTATCACATGGTATAATTTACTTTTTTATTAGACCCTTATTTATTAAAATAAATTAAAATACATTATAAAAATTTGTGCAAAATCGTACCAAAATTCATATCAATGTATTTAAACAAATCTAGAGAATCTTTTCATGAAAATAGAAATATAATTACTCTATAAAATTGATGTAAATTTGAAAAATATTTTTTTCTTCAAAATCTCTTACGTAACGTTGTTGGTTATCTAAAATAGAGATTCTAGTATTTCCTTCCACTTAAAATGCTATTCATTTGACTGTATGTCGGTCATATCAAAGTGAGACGAAAAATGACTATATGAGATGGGGTTAGAGAGAGATAGAATGACAGATGGTGGTTTTAAGGGATGAAGAGTAAACGAGATAGAAAGTAGAGGAGAAGCGATGATGCGACATTCATCCTGACGAACCGTTACTTCCATTCATCGCATTCGCGATACTGATGCGAGATACGCGGCATTTCTCGATACGTATGCCTACTGGCGCTATCATTAAAATGACATCACGGAAACGGAAGGGTATACGCGGTGGGTTAGAGAGAAACAGCAAGCTGGGAACGTATAGGGCGTTAGTCACGAGTTCGCCTTCGTTCTACCGGTTTCGCCCTTTATTTTCCTCAATTCCACGCTACCGCGCCATAAATCCTAAAAAATCGTTAATCTCTTTCGTCCCTTTTCTGTGGCAACGCGTACCAGCACCGAATGGATTTTCATATTAAACCAGTGACAAATTGTTCGGACGGCTTCGCCAACGCCCGGTCACCCGGTGAAATCTGTTTACCATTTAATTGCTTGCCGTTCGAGGCGTTAATCTCGATCCAATCGACGGGAACTTGTAAGAAACAAATGAAATTTAATAGAAAACACTTGCAGGGAATTGCATTTGTTGAATGGTAGCTTTCGTACAAAGAACAGCCAGAATATTGTCAGAAATTGATAACATTGTTGATCTGACGTATAACAAAGTTGTTTATTCTTTGACATTTTAATTACAATTTCAGTATTTGTGTCATTTAAATTACATACGTAAGTAGAAATAAATTACATTTTATTCACAGTACGCATTGGAAAATAATCAGAGCCTCAGTATCTTGAGTTTCGTGCCAAGCATAGAAGACGATGGAAAATATCTGACGTGTCGAGCGGAGAACCCTGCCATTCCTGACAGTGCTTTGGAGGACAAGTGGAGACTGGACGTGCAGTATCAGCCTGTGGTGACTCTCAAGATGGGCGAAACCTTGAATCCAGATAGTATCAAAGAGGGTGACGACGTCTATTTCGAGTGCTTAGTCAGGGCTAATCCAAAAGTGTACAAGCTTGCCTGGTTCAAGGATGTAAGTCCTGACATAACACTTGATCCATTCTTTCTGTAGCTACTCTATAAACAATTTTTCAATCATAACTTAAGAAATTATTTTTGTGTTATAAGTAAAATTATATAAAAGATATTTCACGTTTTATGTAAATAATAGCATTTCTATTAATAAATGGGAACAAATTTTGCAGCAAAAAGGTATTATCTGTTTCAGGGTAAAGAACTGAAGAACAATCTCACTGGGGGTATCGTCCTCAGCGATTATTCTCTGGTTCTTCAAGGTATAACCCGATACTCAGCGGGTGATTACACCTGTCGTGCTGCCAATGGCGAAGGAAAAACTACCAGTAACCCAGTCACTCTTCGAATAATGTGTGAGTCTACATATTTGTTACCATTCAAATTCTACTTCTTCTTAACCCTTGAACAGCGAAGTCTAGATCCATCGTGACTCAAAGTTACAAAATATATAGCAAGAATAATTTTTAAAGGAACAGCATAAAATTGAAAAATTAACCTTACCGTAATTCGTTCCGAATATTTCATTTATCTTTTAAAAATAGAAGAAGAAACTTCTTCTCTAATTTCCCGGAATCCCGATTATTGTTCAGGCAATTAAGTAAAAAGTCGTTGGAACAACGTTGAATTTTACTTCCCTGAAACCGGCGGAAATTTAATGCAAACAATAGTTAGCCAGTCATTAATCACTGGAACAACGGAAGAGGCCGCGAATAGAATTTCACCCCGGGGTTGATATTCTCGGACCAATTCCCTAATTTGCCAGCTCTCACCTCGGCTCTTCGATAATTACTTAATCGATGGCAAGTAGCAGCCGAATAAGCGGTAGCAGCGAATCGAGCTCTGAAAGGATCCTCGCTTCTAGGAATCACGTCGAGGAATAGGGTGAAAAGGTTCGCGAAGGAACGGGACGAGGACAGTTGCGGATAGTTTTCTGTAAAACACACAGCACCAGTTATTCTATTAGAATGGTTGGTACCCCATTGGTGGTAGTCCAACGTATCTGCATCTTGTAAATGACCTAAGAGGGAAGGAAGGACTGCGATGCATATTCAATGTATGTAAAGCGTAACTGAATATTCATGTGTGGGTGAACGCAGGCTGGCAATGTGCTAAGCTAGGCCGGTTAAGGGGGGAGCAAGGGGTGATCAGAACTAAAGGTAACCGCGATTCCATCCTAATGTTTTAACTCTGATCTTCGGTGCACTACTGGCATTGATTCTCGTTAAGTTACCAAAGTGTTTCTAAGATTACCTTAATTTTACCTTTCAGTTTAATTGACATTAAATATTAATCATCTAAATTAATTTCTATCGTTATTGAAAATTATTCTCCATTTTCTCATGGAAATCACATGGTATATTCCTAGAATATACCTGTTCCAATTAGCTTCAAACATCTTCTAATGCTTCCTAACGAGTAATCGCGCAGTAATGTGTGTCTCAATCGGCGAACGTTGTTTTGAGATTAGAACGTCTGCTGACATGATCCTCGGCATCGTCGACTTCTCGTATTAGTAATTAATTCGGCAGTACATCAAACGCATCAGATTGAAACGGATCCGTCCCGTGATCCATCCATCATAAATCATTTCCCGTGCCATTTGGAATTTCCGTGTGCCATGGCCTATTGCAAATACCAATGTCAAGAGAATTTCCTATTAGCCAATCGATCGAACATACTACGGCTTGAACGGTGTCGAGGCGTCTTCCGTTTCACACGCTCAGATCATTTCTGAATATTAACAGATTAGCTAGAATTCTGTATCACCGGTGTTTCTTACTAAACTTCTCACTCAATTCGTTTCATACTTTCAATTTAAGTAGATACATTGTTATAAGGTATATCATGATGTCATTGATTGTGTTAGGTAATCGAAATTTATCGATTAACCCTTGAACAACGGAGCTTAGGATATTACTTAAGGTAATATAAGGATATTAAATTGGGGCACTCTCCATGGTTGGCCGTCCGAGGGTTAATTACATTGTGGAGCAAATTTTATTTTTATTTCTTGTGATCATTGCAGATTTTCCATGTAGTATTTAGAGAGAAATAAATAAAATTCAATTGAAAATTATAAGAAATTGAAATTTTAATTGGTACAATTAGACATATTTGAGAGTAGCACAGATTCAGCACTTTCGAAACTTGAACGTTAATAAAGAGGCCAAGACGTATCGATGAGTAATTCGTTTGAAAACAATTCACTTCCAGTTGGAATACGTGTTCGAGTGACAAGTGATTACCTCAGCAAGTGTCAAGTTGCAGTCCAATTGGTTAAATTGCAGTTGTGCGATATCTGCATAGACGTTCAGAGTATTCGAACATGGCTGCAACTACCGCACTATGTACCGTCTAACTTACCCTTGTAGCGGATCAATTGAATTCAAATGACTGTTTCAGTTTACATTATACCCTATGGTTTCGGGTTTCCGACACCGGACCAATAACATTAAGATGTCATTTTCTGTTATTTCGTAATATTGTTAAATTTTCATACTGTATTTCACAGTAAAACAAAAATTCTGTTATTTATCTTAAAATTGGAGCTCTCTACATGGCCCGTTGTTCGAGGGTTAATATACAATCCATGGTTTTTTAGTTGAAATTAAATATATATCGATGATAAATCAATTATGTCAATTTAATTACCTTGCATAAAGCTTCACTGACAAGAATTTATATATTTATAAAAATAAAAATAAAAATAATATTTTTCTTCCAAGCATTATAGTAAGAAGAGAGTATGGTCATTTGCAGATACGCCAGTTTGCAAAGAGGGTAGAAGCGAGGTGGTGGTCGGTGCCCTGAAACAGGAAACCGTATCGTTGGTTTGTTCCGTGGAAAGTCATCCCGCACCGTTGACTTTCCACTGGACATTCAATAATTCTGGCGAGCTGGTGGAGGTTCCTCATTCTCGTTACTCGCATGTGCCAGCACCAGGGACACCGTCCGTTGCCGAAAGCCTGAAGGAGTATCAACAGTTCCACGGCTCCAGGTTAAACTACACACCTTCCACGGAAATGGACTATGGCACTGTAGCGTGTTGGGCGACTAACCAAGTTGGCAAGCAACGAGCACCGTGTCTATTTCAAGTAAGTGCATTTCCCTCGTTTCTCATCAGCTATACAGTCATCTCACTCACGATTCTCACGTGTAAGAATATTTATAATTAATACCACGTGATTAATGAAACTCTGTCAAATAATTTCAAAAATATGGTAAAGAAATTTTTTAATTTTCAATTATTTCTTTCATCCATTATTTATAATTACCATTGCTTTTATCGTAGCTTCTGTGTTGATCATTTCAGTTCAGATTGCTCTTTCGTGGTATAGAGTAAAAAATTCGACTTCACGTTTTCAACAGACTTGCACGTTCTAGGGATGAACACGATTTGACCATTTTCCGAATGATGCCACCGTTCTCGTGTGTTTGTTTGTATAGTAGAATATCCTCTCAATGAACGAATCGAGAAAAATGAAACTTGGAACGTGACTACAGTTTTGCTAACAAAGAATGGTTCTTAGCATTGAAACAAGCTGTATTTAACTTGACACTATTTAGACAAATATTAAAATTTTACCATAGTCATGAAAATTATTTTTAACAGTTAATTGCTACTTCATTACGAACATAACTCGTACAAATTAAAATCAAATGCCAAATTATGTCCACAACGCGCAATTCGATAAAATTTATTCGCGAGATTAAACGTGGATTAAATTGAAATGTTTCATTCCAAACAGTTGGAAAAGTTTTAAGGAAACTCGAATAATCAAATAGTTGAAAGTGAGGAAAGTAGCATGTTAAAAAAAGAGATGCATAAAATTCAGCATTTTAAAATTTGCCCGTGGTGAATTTCATAAAGGCAATGAATTTGAATGAGGTGAAGTTTTATTTGCGTTTCACTTTTCGATTTAAATTCACGATTTTTTAAATCATCTAAAGCGACGCGAAGAAGTTTAATTTGGACCAGGTGATTTTGTGCCGGAAATTTTAATATTGTAACGTTCGGGTCTTAAATGTACGAAAGCAAAGTGTAAAGTCCTTAATATTTATTCTTGTAATGCTGGAAGTAATTAAAGAAAGTTTGCACCCTTTTTATTATGGCAATTTTCAATGGTATTATTTGAAATAAAAGAACACTGAAACTCGCCATGTTACTTTAGAGTTACACGAGCGCATAGAGTGGTAATACAATAATCCATTTTCTGTCGGGAGGTAGATTGGAGAATACGGTTGAAAAAATCAGATTCGATTTGGTTCGATTAAAGAGAAACGCTGACGCCACTTTGCCGATACGTTACTCGAATGCACCCTGCATCGTTGCAGATTAGAGTTGTAAACACGAGATTGCTTTTAATGGTTTAGAATCGAATTTCTTTGGAAACAGAGAATGCTTTGTCCAGGTAGACGATGCATCTGTCGAATTTTAAAGCTATTCGTGTTTGATACAATACGTTGAATTAGGGAAAATGAAAGAGGGTGAAAAAGAAAGAAATCTTGAAACTCCAATACCATAATTTCTTAAATAATTTATATAATAATAAAAAATAAAAATTTGGGGATCGTTTAGGTGATAGCTGCCGGTCGTCCATACGCTCTCCACAACTGTAGCGCGACAGAAATGTCCGCCCCTTTGGATAATGAAGAATTGAGCGCAAAATCTGGAACCGGTCTTCTAGTGCGATGTTTGGAAGGATACGACGGTGGACTTCCAATCTACAGTTACCAATTAGAGGTCGTCTCCGACGAGGACGGTGGACCGATATTACTGAACAAGACCGTTCCAGCGAGCCCAAATGGACCAATGTTTGAGGTAGCAGGCCTAACGACAGGAAAGAGTTACCGACTTTTTCTCTACGCGATTAATGCGAAAGGGAGGAGCGAGCCTGCCATTCTGGAGCCAGTGACCCTGAAGGGTGTTGCCATGTACACCACCGGTGAGTGCATTGACTTTTTAATGTTGTATTTAGCTGAGGGATCGAGAGATTTCTATAGGGGTGTCAATCAGATACAAATTTAGAAATTCTGCTAAAACTCGTATTTTCATTTTCGAATGATAGATGAATGATAGATTAAATCTAGAACATGTGTTTGAAAATGTTTCGACTAAAATTAGATACTCAATTAAAAGTAATATCTTAAACCCTCGAATGGTGGAACATGGAAGGAGTTCCAATTTTAACTTCATTTCGAACATACTCCTCGAGGGTTAACAGTTTTTAGTCTGAAATTAAATTTCAATTGTCATAAATTTGTGTAATCTTACACGAATCCAAAATGAGCAATAATTGTCGCAGAAATATTTGAGAAAATATGAGAAATTTATAAAGAAATAAAGTAATTTTTAATGAATTTCAAGGAAGTAGTATTAATGCAAGTAATAATAGCACACAAGGGTGCATGATTACGTAACATATTATTTCCCTGGTTTGGTAATAAATATCGTAAGGTTTTGTTCGATTACGTGCAGGGTAACTAGACCTTAAAGGCCCCAATTTAAATCTCGATGCCATTCGATCGATAGTGCAGTTACTTTTGTGGTAGGTACTTACACGTTTCATGCATTAATAACAGCGAGCGGTGATCACGCAATCATTTGAAGCCGAAACAATTAAGCGAAAGACTCCACGATAACTAATTAACGGTGCAATTATTGCTTGTTTGATTGTTTCTTCGATATACACTGAATAATACCGTAAATATAATTACAGGTGTGTTCTACATTTCAAACTCGAGTGATAAAAATCTTTTTATTTATTTCTTTTTACTGGAGGGAAAAATAATTTTAATTGAAATATTCTTTTGTATATCAAATACTTAAAGCGGCTTTTATATTTATTTTTTCTTTTTAAATAATTATCTGAAATTCATTCAGAGATACCTTCCTATCAAATTATTTTAAAAGTCACATTTAGGATTTTATTTAAAAAAAAGCTAAATTGGAGATAATAAAATTTCAAACACAGATACGTTTCAAAAATTTAAAATGACAATCGGATAAGGGTCGTATAGTATATCTAACGCGGATGAAAAAGGTATAACTCTTATCAAGTTTCACAATTTCGCGTAAAGAATCCAGGGGGAACGAGGCTGAATGTTTGTATCTGCATTTCTGTAATTCAACTGTGACGGGGTTATTTACATTATCGAATCCGGTAAAACGTCGAGAAGTTTTCTCGTTACCGAGGATGATTATTTTCGTATTATCTGTAAGAAGAAAACGGAAGCCGGAGAAAACTGGGACGCCCGTGGAACGAACTTCTTGCCATTAACAAAACGAGAATGAAAAAGAAACGGAACATCCGGTGAATTTTAAGACTCGGTCACGAGTCTGTTTTCCAGTTCGGTCCGATTAACGACGAAGTAAATGATCGAAATGGACTATAAATTGGATGGTACAACTAAAGATGGTATCCAATCCTTTTTATTGAGTATCGAGCTCGGCTTAAATGCACCTATCGTGGCCTTATTTTCTGCTGAAGGCAATATTCAATGATCGTTATCAAGAATCTTTTGTTTTCCAGACGAAATATTTTCTGCTACTCGTTAACCCCTTGGTAATTACGCACTGACAAAATTCAAATGAATTTATCAAACTTTATAATGATTTGTTTCACAAGGGGAACTACCCAAATGTTAACACTTATTTTTATGATAATTTGTCTCTTTTTGAATAACTATTACATAAAAATTATCATAAAAAAAAAAAAAAAAAAAAAAAAAAAAATTGTTGGGAACCAAGGATTTGAACCGAGGACCTTCAGATTGCGAGTCATGGATCCGCTCCGTGGTTAACCACATGACTCGCAATGTAAAGGTCATCGGTTCAAATCTTTACTTCCCATTTTTTTTTTTTTTAATGATAAAAAAATTTTTGAATAACTACAATTCTATATAATTCTAAACTAAAATTCTATATTCTATTTTGTGTAACTTAAATTGATAAGTGAGTGTAACACTTGGGTAGTTCTCCGTATCAGTAGCGCGACTGATAAAACAAAAACCGTGTATCTTTAACTTGAAATTTCCAAAAATTTCACACCAAAGTACTGAATACCATAGAAGGGTAGCAATTCTGTAAAATTAGAATGGTCGAAAAATCAGCGAGGCGAACCAGCAAACAAAGCAAAATCGGTTCTCTATAAATCCTGCATCGTTCCTGTTTTCTCTGCGCGTTGCTGAAATTCGCGAACAAAAAAAAAAAAAAGAGGGGGAGAGTGGGAAAGCAGGAGGGTCGACTGGTAATGGACGCTGACGCCACAACGACCAATGACTACGGCCAGTTTCACCGTGTCGGGGTCAGAGGGTGGCTTTTGAAAAATGACGGGAACGTCGGAAAAAACGCTGAACTTTTCCTCTCGACGGTCCATTAACGGCACTCGCATCGTGCACGCGTATTATAGGCGGTGGTAGGTGACGTTGTAGCGAGCGGATATGATTGCAATTGCGCAAATAGTCGAAGCGGACGCGTCAGTATTGCAATTAGTCGGTTAACCGCCCCTCAAACTCGGCCCTCCTCCCCCTCCCGTCACTGAACTCTGTTTCCCGATGGCTCCCATAAGGGAGACTGAGTGCGGTCGGGGTAGGTTGTACGGGAGGCTGGTTGTACAAGCTCGAAGGAGAAACGAGAGGTCGGTAACGGCAACAGTTCAGCTTGTAATGCTGAACGCAGCGGAACGCAACCGCAGGTATCGGACTCTGCGGACCTTGCAATTAACAAAACAGATTACACTCAATCAACGAACACCTACATATCTGTCTATGCGTCAGGACTGTTTCGCTGGCTTTCAATGCCCTTCCGCGCGTTGCCTTCTGCGAGTACGGTCTATGATAAATACCGGAATCCTCTGCCGACAACCGGCTCTTCCTACGGTCAATACACCACATCCGCTTTGCTACCCTGGTCACGGTTGCTCTTGAATTGCCGTCCGTTTAGAGATCCGTCGAGGGAAACATTTTCAAATAGCTATTATAAATGGGCTAGATTTTGAATAAGAGGGGTTGCCAATACACGAACCGACCGACCGACGGTGTTCAAATGTGATGCCAGGTTGATTGATTGATTGGCGCTATCAAACGGAATGATGACAGGGGTGAAGAAACCGATAGGACTTATTAGGGCTCATCAATATTCGGCAAAGTTATTGGTGCTTCGTATATCGATCGATTACAAGGGACGATAAAAATAGAATCGTGTTATTCTTGTTCGTTATATTTCCTCTAGTTTTTTCATCACGGAAATATTCTCGTTGCGTTCTAGTTTCTTTGAAAGGAGAAATTCAAGGAGAAAAGGCAATGAAATTTATCGAATCTTGACGGATATTCGATTATATATTCCACTTTGCCGTGTTTGCCGTGCTTTCGTTACGCGTCATGTTCCCGTTAACAATCGAGTTTTCCCGGCACGTATCCGTTCTGAAGGAGATTCCCGATGCAAGGAGGTATCCGTCGCTCGGTTTAATCCCGCGAGAAACTCCTCGGGGACGATTTGTCGGGGTCCAAGGTATCGACGTGTGTATATTTGTCAAATTGCTCGTAGCCGAGATTCCTTTCCCCGATGTTGGCGCGCGGTTATAATCGACTCTGCTCAAACACCTTCCGGAACATAATGGAAAGTTATTGGTAACATACGGTGCCGGGGTTAACATCGGGGTTAATTCAGTTTGCCAGCGATTTCCAGCGATTTCCAGCCCGACCAACCGCATAAAGTGTCGGCTCGCTGTCCAATTCGCCAACCCTCCTTCTTCTTTCCCTCCCTCCGGCTCCTTCTTCTCTAATTCCAGCACGCCTGACTTTGCATACCGACCTGTCTCTACTGGCTGGCTGGCAGGGTGGCGAGGTGCAAATATTGATTTGACAACCGTAAGCCCGCCGGCACTGATTTACTCGAACGACGCGACGGCCTGCCTGCGGACCGTTCGAGCCAATTTGCGGCCCCTTTGCTTTGTCCCCCGTTTGATGGAACGCCATCGGGGTCAGTCCACCAAGAAAATCGTCACAAAACCCTTTGTGCGACTCTCTTCGCGCATTCAGCGATTCTATTCTATGCGCTTCTCCTATTTTTATCCGAACCACCATTCAAGGCTGGTGTAAACCTGACCGCGTTGCATTTCTACGATGAAGTAGCATCTTCGAAACTCTTGATCCTTTCATTCAAATATACCCATAGAATGTGTTAACAGTCTTTGACTTAAAAAACTTGAGACACCTTGCGAATCGCATGCACTTTCCTTTATTATTTAAAAAAGAAAAAAAACATGACGTTGTTTTACTTCATCTTTTACCTGACCTCCATCATAGGTCCAACAGTCCCGCGAGGATCCGCTAGAGATCCTCTTGTATTCGTGTCGCGACAATGTAGCTCTCGTTCCCCAGCTCGATATCTCGATTCAAGGTGTGAAACGACGAGACGCATTCAAAAACGCGTCGGTTTCCGGTCGCGGACAACACCGTCGGGATCACGGGCGGAGGCAAGGAAATGGTTTCAGGGATCGAGAAGAGAGGCGGATTCCTTCTGTTCTGGTGGCGAAAGAAAAGCGCTAGGTAACCAGATGCAAGGTAACGCGACGGAGCAAGAAAATGAACGGGTAAAATGAAAATGGAGGGAAAGAGGAACGGAACCACGCTCCAACGTCTTTCCATTTGGTAGCGGCAGTCGGCTGCCGGCTAATCCATTAGGAAAATTAAGCATGGGAACAGGGTCTACTTATTCCTCGCGGAGTAACGTCTCCTACGTTTCTTTGTTAGACCCGCTCGAACTGTCGCGAATCGTAGAATAAGAAATAAGGGATCCTCTTCTTTAAGCACGCAACGGAGGGCTGTCGGAGGAAAAGATAGCGAAAGCCGAGTAGACGGGAAGAAAAAGCACAGCCCCGGAAAAAGTGGATAAGATATCGGAGATGAGAGAACGAAAGGAAGGTGATAAATAGTTATTCTT